ATATTAAAATTTTTGAATATATAAATAATAATAATAATAATAATAATCAGGGACCGTCTCGAAAGTTTAGTTTCGTTTCAGCATCGGTCCCTGATAATAATTAATTACGTACTTACTAAGTGAATTTTTTAACTTTAGTTTTGCTATTAGTTCAAAAATAATTTTTTATTGACAGTATAAGAAAGATTCAAACGTATTTTTTCTGAATTAAGTTACTTATTATTTTGCATATAACTTTATTTTTTTTATTTTTTTACCACCTATTTTTAGAAAATAATTTACTGTTTTACTTATTTAGAAAAAAGTTACTGTAATCTTTGTAAATAAATAAATTTTTTCCTGAAAATATAGAAGAAGAAATTAGGTTTAATTTCGTAAATGTTTATAATTAACAATGTAGAAGAAAACGTAATTTCTTGTTAAATTCACTGCGACACTTTTCCAAGGATATCAAATTAATACGTTTTTTGTCTCAATTTTTTCTTTGTCTCAAAAAAAAAATATATCAAAATTGTTGCAATTTTTTCAAATTGCAACAATTTTGATACGTTTTTAGCCTTAATTTGATATCCTTAGAAAAACTATGAACGTGTAAGAAATTTTAATCGTTTTTTATCGAGAAAAATAAAGCAAAGTAGATAAACAATTAATTTTTTTAACAAATGGGCTATGAGTATAAAAAAAACACGTTTTATTTATACTTTTGCCTCTGATACATAAACTGATTTCTAAACGATTGATTATGAAAAGATAAAAATGCACACATGTATTTTTATAGTCGAAGGAGATTAATTTTTTGATGAATTGAACATACGCGATTCTCTTTGCTGTCAGTAAAATGAATTTAGTTTATATATGGATATTCTATTTTCTCTCTCTTTCTCCTTCTCTCTATATGGTTGAATGTGTACCCAATAATCGAATCAACGAATATTGAGGATCGCGGAGTTAGATATACACACAAGGTCTCTTCTCTCCTCTGTGCACGTCTATCCATCCTATAAGAATGACACGCGAACGTTTACCTTTGATGTTCAAAGTCACAGAACACCTGCCGCTAACATAGCATGACAGAAATTAGATACGATATACTTAAAAGTATAAATATAGAAACATACCTGTGTATATAAAGTGAAAGAGGTTTTTAAATATAATTATCATAAATATGTAATGTTTTTGCTTTTTATTTTTGAAGCTATGAAATATGAAGCTTAATATTTGTGTATAGTTTTTTTTTTTTTTTTTTTGAAACATGAAAAGAATATATTTTAGTTTTTTACTGAATAGTTTATGGGATTATTTTTTATTTTGCAAAACTTTGTGTAGAGAAAATACTTCTTTTTATCAGGAGAACGTTATAAGCTCTGTGAAATATAAATGATATTTAAATATGTGTTCTGTGAGTATATTATTATTGTACGAGATGGGTAAATATATTTTCTACTTCGGGTGGTAAATAATAATTTTCGAAATATGCTTCTCTCTGAATTTTAATTCTAGTCGTGCACTTGAGACTATAATAATTCTTGTACACATTCCTTGTGGCTTAAGCTCTAAATCAAATCACTCTGTGTAAATAAATAATTTGTAGAATTCTAGTAACAATTCGTAAAATTTGACTAATAAAATTTTTACTAAATTATTTGCTGGATATTTCTTTATAGTAATTTCTACTAAAATTATTTTTGTCATTGAATTACTAAATTTTACTAATAAATTAGTAGAAATTACTATTTATTAGTAAAATAACAAATTAGTAATAAAATAGTAAATTAGTAATAAATTAGTAGAAATTACTATATTTATTAGTAAAATTTATTACTCAAAAGAAAAAAGTCAGTCACTAATTCAAATTAGTAAACATTTAATTACAAATTCAAATTTAGAAAGTTAGACAATTTTTTTTTGAAGTAACAACATAATAAGAATTCTTTAAAGAGTATATCAAATATACCATTTAATTGGTTTGGATATAAAAATTTTATATATGATGGAAATAAATGCCTGCTGTATTTGAAAATAATCAACTCCTCTCTAGATCTGAATTTATTCACTGTTCACTAATTCTACAGTTTCAATTCGTTCACTAAACGAATAAATATCCATTTGGATTAATTTCGTGTTTAAAAATTTATTATTTGAAAAAAAGTATTATAATTCCGTTGTCGAAGTCTATTTATTAAAAATTTGAAAGAATGTCTTTCTAACCAAAGGAATGTAGTTTTTTATAATAAAAATTAATTAAGCAAAACGGTTTAATTTCCCAATCTTAAAAATCAGTAGTAAGAGACAGTTTTAAGTCAGACACACAGGTTCATTGCTCCAAATATTGGACTGATTCCACTCATCCTACATCAATCGTATTTTCTTCACTGTTATTATTAAAAAATTTATATCTTCATTATAAAAAAAGAAATTAATATTTAATTAACTTTAAATTATCTTTATAATTTATCGTATAAGATTTTTTTCACTCTTACAATGTCGAAAAAGTTAAAACTTAACTCCGAATATTATATTAAAAATTAAAAAAAAATTCATGTTAAAATTTCAATTATTTGTAAAGATAAATAATAAAATTCTTTTCCGAAATTGAATTATTTAAAAAAAAATTGAATAAAATTCTTTGCAATAATTCAATTATTTTCACAAATAAAAAAAAAATCATGTCAAAACTTCAATTATCTTATTATAAACAATAAAATTCTATGCAAACATTTAATTATTTTTGTAAATGATAAAAATTTCACAGGAATTCAATTATTTTCAACTTTTTTTTTATAAATTTCTTCGCAATAATTCAATTATTTTAGAAAAAAATAAAAAAAATTTTACTCCGAAATTCAATTATTTTTCAAATTTGAATTAAATTCTCGTCGCTATTTCAATTATCTTTATAAATAATAAAATTCTTCGCAATAATTCAATTATTTTTATAAATAAAAAAATTCTTCTCCAAAATTCAATTATTTTCAAAAATTAAAAAAAAAAATTCATTTCAAAATTTCAATTAATTTTATAAATATTAAAATTATTCTCCGAAATTCAATAATTTTCAAAAATTTTGAATTAAATTCTCGTCGAAATTTCTATTATCTTTATAAATAATAAAATTCTTCGCAATAATTCAATTATTTTCATAAATAAAAAAATTCTTCTCCAAAATTCAATTATTTTCAAAAATTAAAAAAAAATTCATTTCAAAATTTCAATTAATTTTATAAATAATAAAATTCTTCTCCAAAATTCAATTATTTTCAAAAATTAAAAAAAATTCATTTCAAAATTGCAATTATTTTTATATAAATAACAAAATTCTTCTCCAAAATTTTATTATTTTCAAAAATTAAAAAATAAATACTTGTCAATATTTCAATTATCTTTATAAATAACAAAATTCTTCTCCAAATATAATTATTTTCCAAAATTTAACTCCATTCAATGATTTGTAATTTTTACTATTTTAATACAATTTTATTTATTTATTATATTAAATAAATAAAATAATATATTTAATAAAATATTTATTATTTATTTTTATTTATTATTTTAATACGATTTTTTTTTTTTAATATCTAATCATTTTTAGAGTGGCATTTCTTTTGTGGCATTTAGCTTCATTATTTTTGGGCTCTTCAAAAACACTTTACCCATTTTTTTTTGCCTGAATTCTTTGGTTAAAAAAAAAATTACAAAATTTACGAAAAAATCGAAATTTTTAAAATTCAATATTTTTTCTTCTTTTTTATGGCATTTAGCTTCATTATTTTTGGGCTCTTCAAAAACAATTTACCCATTTTTTTGCCTGAACTCTTTGGTAAAAAACTACCCTTACAAAATTTAAGAAAAATGGAAATTCTCAAAATTCAACATTTTTCTTCTTTTTTATGGCATTTAGCTTCATTATTTTTTTGGGCTCTTCAAAAAAATACTTTACCAATTTTTTTGTCTCAACCCTTTGGTAAAAAACTACCCCTACAAAATTTACAAAAAATCGATATTTTTAAAATTCAATATTTTTTTTCTTCTTCATGGCAGTTAGCTTAATTATTTTTGGGCTCTTAAAAAACACTTTACCCATTTTTTTGCCTGAACCTTTTGGTTAAAAAAAATTACAAAATTTACGAAAAATCTAAATTTTTAAAATTTAACATTTTTTTCTCTTTTTTAGCTCGATTATTTTTGGGCTTTTTAAAAACATTTTACCCATTTTATTGTCTCAACCCTTTGGTAAAAAAAACTACCCTTATCAAAAATACGAAAAACCGAAATTTTTAAAATTGAACATTTTTTCTTTTCGTTTTGTATGGAAATCTTTTTGGTGTTAAATTTTAACCCCCTTTTTTACAGTGTAAGAAAAAAAATTATTATTTATCTGAATCGCTTTTTGATAACTGCGATGACAAAAGAAATAAAATAAAAATAATTCTTTTTTTCGCATACACTGATGGAAAATTAATGAAATACAATATCAACCATGAATTGAAATTTAATTGTTTTTTTTGTTAAATCGTTTCTGCGACAAAATACTGGGATAAAAAAATAAAATATATAAAAATTATTGAAAATGTCAAAGTCTATTTGGATCGTGTCTGAAATCTGGAGAGGGTTAACCATTGCAAAACGTAATTACCGCACGGTTTGCCGCGGGCACGATGAAACAATCTGCTTTAACGATCATTTAGATCGGATCGCCTTTCAACTCACTCTCATCGATAGATGGTGTAGGGTCGCGCTGTAAAATGATGTCGTTAATTGCCAATCGCTTATGTTTTGATCAACTACGTACTATATATATAACATCTTTTGTATGTACATAAACGCACATGAATTTTGACGAATTTTGACGAATTTTGCCAAATAGTGTACATCGACAAGTGTACAAGCAACTTGAAATTTTACTTGCCCGATATGGTGTTTTAGAGGCGCAGGCGTCATTTTCTCCTCTTGAACACTGGCGTCGCGACGACTTTAGACCATTTCGTTCGTTGTTTCGATCGTTTCGATAGTCGCTCCGCGAACGTTGATCGGACAACTTCCATCGTGAACTTTTCATTTTCCCGCCTAAATACACGTTATAACGTTTCATTTTTCAAACAGTGGGAACTTTCAAACAAACTTTTAAACTTTTTTTTTTTAAACAAATTTTTCTCTTTGTGGAAAATATTTTTTTTAATTTTACTTTTGGAGCTAAATTTTTGAAAAAAAAAAAAAAAACAAATCTCTTTTTTGTGGAAAATTTTTCTTTTCTCTCTCATTTTAATTTTACGTATGCTGCTGGATTTTTAAAACAAAAAAAAATCATTTTTTTTTGTGGAAAATTTGTTTCTGTTTTATTTTAATTTTACTTATGCAATTAATTTCAGTAGTATATTATTACTTGCTGTTTATAGTTATATTATTTATTTTGTTTATTTTATCAACTTTAATAATTTTAAATTGTTTCTTATTACGTAGAAAAAAATTTTGTTTGGAGACAAATAAAGAATGATCCACATGGTCCTAAAGTTTTGAACGATCAAATGCGAATGAAATCTATTTATTTTTAGGTAAAATTAAATTTTTATTACAATAATTTTGCATTACTAGAAATAAAATTCAATTTTTTAAGTTTCTAAGTGGAATTTGAATTTTTTGAAATTAAATTTTTAGCTGAAATTAAATTTTTATTACAATAATTTTGCGACACTTGAAATAAAATTCAATTTTTTTTATGTTTCTAAGTGGAATTTGAATTTTTTTACTTTCTAATCAGTAATTTATGAAAATATTTTTAATAAAAAATATTTCGTTCTTTTGAACGTTCAAAACTAATGTATCATGATCCACAACGTTTGAACTTTTAAATGAACGATTTTTTTCATTTTAAATAAATTACAGATTGCAGTAAAAAAATTCAGTTTTAAATTTTACATTTAGAAACTTAATAATTTTTTTTTATACTGAGGCAGTTATTGCAATAAATTTTACATGAAGAAGAAATAAACAAATTTCGTTTGGAACTTTAGGATCAGAATAAATATTTGGGTGATTTTTCTGAAAGTGAAATTTTTGATGTTTTGATTAATTTCATAAAATCTACTCTCTAGTAATTATTAATCATTTTCATAGTAAAAATTTACTTATTAAAAAAAATTAAACAATTTTATTTAAATGAGTCTTATGCATTAAGCATAAATTCATTTAAATAAAATTGTTTAATTTTTTAAAATCACCTAATGCTAAATTTTTATGCATTTTTTCAAATTATAAATTTTTTTTCAAATTAGTGTTGGAAAGTACAATGTTTTTTTTATTATTATTTGCAATTTAAAAATTTTTATACCTCAGTTTCTTATTTAAAAATGTTTAAACTTTGTCTTCAGTTTCGATTTTGGAAAAATTATATTAAAAGAAAATTATTATTTATTATAAAATTATTACATTAAAAATAAAGGAAAAAAATGTTTATAAATTATATTTGTCAATTTGAAAATTTAATTGAAAATGAAAATGAAAATTTTTGAATTTTTAGAAAAAAAGGAAAAAATTTTATTGAGAAAAATGTTCTGTTAAATTTATTTACAAATATCTTTTAAATTGTAAAATTATTCGAAAACAATAATTTCTTTTTTAAATATTTTAAATATTCAATTATTATTATTTTTCCATAGGAATTAAGTTTTTCAAAAGAAAATTATAAATAATTAAATTCCTGTGGAATTTTTATTATTTTTAGAAATAATTAAATGCTTGTCTGCAATTAAAAAAAAATTTTTTTTAAATAATTGAATTCTTTTCGGTAAATTTTATTCAAATAGTAGATATTGAAAATAATTGAAATGAGAAAAAATTTTTGAAAATAATTGAAATTAGGACAAGAATTTTATTTTCATTTTTAAAAATAATTGAACTTTACGAAAGAATTTTGTTATTTACAAAGATAATTGGGATTTTGACGATAATTTATTTTTTAAATCTTGAACATAATTGAATTTTATGAGAAGAATTTTATTACTTTTGAAAATAATTGAATTTCTGCAATTATTTCTAATTTCCCCAAAATTTAATTTTTTTAGTGCTTTTAACAGAAATTTGAATTAAAAATTTTTAAATTCTATTTTTAAAATTGATAATTTTATTTAAAGATTACTCCGGAGTCATCGATTTCTTCATGTTTTATAATAATTTATAATAATTAAAAATTTATGAAAATAATTGAATTATTGGAGAAGAGATTTATAAAAAAAAAATTATAAATAATTGAATTCCTGTGGAATTTTTATTATTTTTGAAAATAATTAAATGTTTGCGTACAATTTTATTCAATTTTTTTTAAGTAATTGAATTCTTTTCGGAAATTTTATTTAAATTGTAGAAATTGAAAATAATTGAAATTAGAACAAGAATTTTATTGTCATTTTTAAAAATAATTGGAATTTTGACGAGAATTTTTTAAAAAACTTTTCTGCGAAAAATTTTATTACTTTTGAAAATTATCGAATTTATTTGTAATTTCTCCAAAATTGAATTTTTGAGTGTTTTCAACAAAAATTTGAATTAAAAATTTTTAAATTCTATTTTTAAAATTGATAATTTTATTTAAAAAATGAAGAAAAAAATTTTGTTGTTGCTAGTAATTTAATTATATTCTATGAAATAATAATATATTTTTTTTTTAAATTTGATTTTTTATTCATTTTTGTTCGATTATTTATTTAATTTACTTGGTTCGTTTATTTTCGAGACGAATATTTTTGTTCCACTCGTTTTTTTTTGTCTTGAATAGAATTGAAAGATTGAATTGAATAGAATTAAAAATTTGTAAATTCTTTTATTTTTGAAATTAATAATTTTATGTAAAAAATAAAGTAAAAAGTTAGTTGTTGCTAGTAATTTAATTATATTCTATGAAATAATAATAATTTTTTTAAAATAAAAAAATTCGATTTTTTATGGATTTGTTATTTATTTTTGTTCGATTATTTATTTAATTTACAAGGTTTTTTTATTTACGAGACGAATAATTTTTTTCCACTCGTTTTTTTTTGTCTTGAATAGAATTAAAATATTGAATTGAATAGAATATTGAAAGAAAAAAAAATGTCAATGTGTCAATGAGAAAAGGAATTTTATTAAAAATAAAAGTTTGGTTTTTTGTTGATGGAACAAGAAAATAAAGAAAAACTTTGTATTATTGAATTTTCTTGTATGTATAAGTAGCTACTTAGGGGGGAAAAAAGACAGTTTCTTCCATTCATGGACAGTGACGAGAACTCTTTTTACTGTTCATAAATGAACATCTTCATTCATGGCACGTAGCGTAAATCCGTTTACAACATCGCGAAACTATACAGACGGCATAAAATGTAGAACGGGTATTTCATTTCACACCTCCTTTAATTCACAAAGAAGGATTATATATATTATTCATTATTATTCATTATTATTCATTATTATTAAAAAAAAGAATAATAACAAAAGAAATTCGAAAATTTTCCTTTCATTTCCTTTTCTTTTTTTTTTTGTATTATATACATCAAAACTTTTTGCACGCATAACTTTTTCGAGTTTCGGAAACTTTTCTTTCATACACAATTTCAGTGTATATGCTATATATAAATAAGTTTTTCCCTATGAAAGTTATAATGTAAAAGAACTTTATTCCTGGAGAATTCTCTTTTTTTTCTTCTTCTTTTCGTAATTGAATTCGAGTTTTCCGATATACAGGCGAAAAAATCGATTTTCTATTGTAACTATCGAAAAATTTAGTTTATTCAGAAAACATGAGAATTTATTTTCTTGTACAGTATAGGTATGGAAATGGTACATTACGATACATGTTTGGAAAGATGAAAAATTTTGCCAATATATATATAGTGAGGGGAAGAAATTTTCTGTGTGAATGGAAAATTTACTGTGCAATCGAATCGAAAAGGATTTTCTGTACGATAAGGGAATTTTTTATTTTCTATTCAAGTATATGTTTAGGAAATTATTCAGACGAAAGAAAGTTTTGACTGGAATAGCGATAAGATTCTTTAGGATAGCGAAACTCTTAATTAGAAACAACTAAAAATTTCGCTAATAATTTTTTTCTATATATAATTTTTGTCTTTTTTTCTCATTTTTTTTACTGTCAAAAATTTATTTTTTTTGACAACAAAACCCGTACTAAATTCTCTAAAACTAAATTTGTTAAAAAGCTATTGTTAGTAAAATGTGGTCTGAGTTTTTGCTTCAGCAGTTAGTGAAAAAACCAAAAGTTTTAGTTATTTTTTCAATGTTTCTTGATTAACAAAATTATAAAAAAAATTTTTCAATAAAAAATATAATTTTTTATACACGAAAAAAAAATTTTACCTGGATCAGCTAAAAGTTTCACTATAATAGAGAAATTTTTAGTTGTTTTAGATAAACAAGAAAAATTAATTTGATTTAAATAACCGATTACTTGTCTATCATCAAAAAAATATTTACTCGAATCAAATAATTTTTATTTAAATCAAATAAATTATACTTGAATCAAATAATTTTTATTTAAATAAAATAAATTATACATACTTGAATCAATAATTTCAGTATTTGAAGCAAATAGACCATTTAATTTACTCAAAAAAATTCCAAAAATAATTGAATTTGATTAAAAGTTGAGTTCCAAATTTTGTAAATAATTAAATTGCAAAAAAAATTTTAAATAATTTTATAATTAAAAGTTCTAAAGTCATTATATAGAAAATTTTTTATTAAAATTTTTATTTTTTAATTTTCCAATATATTTTTAATTTAAAAATTTACAAATAATTGAAATTTCATAAAATTGAGTTGTAAACAAGTGGATTTCACAATTATTTAAAATTAACTTTAAAAAAAAATCAACTTTCTTAATTGAATAATAGAATTTTCAAAAGAATTTCTCTAAATTGATTAAAAATCGTTGAATTAGAGAAGAGTTTTAGTTAGAAATTTCAAAATTAATTGAATTTTATAAGAGTTGCGTTCAAAATTTTTGTAAATAATTAAATTGCAAAAAGTTTCAAATCAAAATTTTCGTATATTTGAATTTTGAATAATTTAAATTAAAAATTTGAAATAAGTATTTTGAAAAATTTGCATTTTATTTTTTTTAAATCAGTTAAATTTTTGAATATACTTTTAATTGAAAAAGTTACAAATAATTGAAATTTCATTAAATTATAAGTTGTAAAAAAGTGGATTTCACAATTATTTTAGATCAACTCTCTTTTTTTATTTGAATAATTGAACTTTCAAGGAAATTTCTTAAAATTGTATTTTAAATTATTTGAATTAAAAATTTTGAAGTCAGTATTTTGTAAATTTTTTATTAATTTGTTGTTATGTAATTATTTATTTAATTATTTACTAATTAGTTACATTTTTGAGTATAATTTTAATTGAATAATTTACAAATAATTGAAATTTCGTAAAATTGAGTTGTAAACTTAATTTCACAATCATTTTTTATCGACTTCCTTGTTTTATTTAAATAATTTAATTTTCAAAGAAATTCCTCAAAATCGATTAAAAATAATTGATTTAGAAAATAGTTTTAGTAAAAAATTTCAATAATAATTGATTTTATAAGAATTTCATTATTTACAGAGTTAATATAAATAATTGAATATCGTTTTTAAATCGAAACTATAGAAAAATTTAATTTAAAATTCTTTTTAATTAAAAATTTCTCAGAAGTTACTTTTTTGGAAAAATATTAATTTCAATTTTTTTGAAATTGATTTTATTTGAAATTTTCTAAAATTAAATGCTAAACAAGTGGATTTCTAAGAATTATTTTAGAACCGTTTTTTATATAGAAGATTGATTGAAATTTTATTATTTTATTTTATAAATTTGATTATTTTTTATTGAATTATTGAAATTGAAAATTTGAAATGAAAAATAAATTATAGAAATTAATTTCTGCATTATCGAAAAGTACAGTTTAAAGGGCAGTATAGTAAAATTTCTATTTATATAGAATTTACATAGTAATAATAATTCATCTACATGAAAATTTGGTTTTGTAATATTTATCGGAATATTGCTTTCACTTAATTCTGACATTGTCTCTCGTGTACCTAACTAGATTCCTCTCCATTCACCATTTTTGGCATTATAATGATGAGGTAGTTCGAACTCGGTATTAATCATGTCCTAGGCTAATGAATAATTATGTAGCTTATGAGACATGTACATATATATTCACTTCTATAAATTCAGGTTCATGAACACAATATTATTATTAATCCTCTCAAAGTGAATATAAAGACTTATTTTCTATTTTTTTTTTAGCAAAATTTGTCATTTTATGCTTCAGGTAAAATTAAAATCATTATTTTAAACAAATCATTTGAAAATATTTTTATTTTATTCAAATAGTCGATTTACAATTATTATTATTGTTGTCACGTTATTTTGATTCACAGTTTTTTAAGGATATGAAATTGAGACAAAAAACGTATCAAAATTGGTAACAATTTTGATAAGTTTTTTGTCTCAATTTCATATCCTTAAAAAAAAAGTGTGTTGTTATTAAAATATCATATTATTATTATTATTTATTTTTATCAAACAATTATTATTTGAGTCGATTAAATTGAAATTGAAAATTAAATAATTAAATATACAGAAAAATATTTAATTTAAATACAGAAATTATTTATTCGAATAAAATTTAAAAACGATAAAAATGAATTCAATTTGAAAAAAAGAAATTTAGAAGAATGGGAAAAGTTCGATAAAACATTTATAATACGGAACCTTAAAATAGAAAATTTTTGCTGGATATCGATATCACCTAATCGCAAATTACTCGTAAATATACCATTGATTTCGTATCAAGACTTCTATAAACTTATATAAATCCTTCGATACCAGCTGACGTTTAAATTCTATCCGGAAGTTCGCAACTTGTTTTTCTCGATTTCTATATATCAAATATAGCACTTTTTTTTAAATTCATGTAAATTGGGATCAACTTTTTTTTTCACTATTTTGCACACGTGTCAAGTATTTTTTTTTTAAAAACTTTTTAAAAAATTTTTTATATTAAATTTTTAGATTTTTTTCTTTCTCCAAAAATAGTTTTAATTAAATTATTTGTTCCATTGGAAAAACCAAACAAAATGTCAATAAAAGAGAAGAGAAAAAAATGATGAAAGGAAAAATGTTACGTGAAAGTATTTCTAAACTAAAGAAAATAAGATGCAGAGACTATAAATTTAATTATTTATTTTGAATTACGATTGACTTTAATATAAAAGTTATGATAAAGGAGTAAATGTTAAATTGACAATTTTTTTTTATAAAAATGTCGTGACCAAAGAAAAAAGAAGAAGAGAAGAAAATGAAAAATGACGGTAATGCAAGCAAAGTGTGTGCAACATTCAAACAGAATTATTTATTATCTTATTATTCTGCAATCATTATTGCAAATTATTGCCTTCATTTATCTTTATCTCTACGTGGCGAAAGTTGATTCTGAATTGAAAATTCTAAATAAATTGGGATGCCAGCATCCCGTCGTCGTCGAAAACGAAAGTTTAATGCGCCGGAAGAGAAGTAGTGCACTTCCCGCAGCTGAGGACAATGCAGTATTAGAAGTCTTCAGGGTGAGAGAGAATTTATTTCATTAATTTTATTGGTCTCCTTCAATTACAATTTAAAATTTCTCCCACATATATATATTTATTCTCTCCGAAATTTTAGTTTTATTCTCTTTTCATTTTCAATTTTATATTTAGTTTATACTCAAATTTAAAATTTATTTTTAAATTTTTATTTTTTATTCAATTTTATATTATTTTTCATAAACTATTATTTTAAATATTATATTATAATTTTTAAAAATTATTTATTTCTTCTTATTACTTATATTCCGGTACTAGGAATCGAACCCTAGCCCTCCTGTACGACAATCGACTCCCCTAACCACCAGACTACGCCACATTATTTTTTTTGTTTTTTTTTTCAAGTATTTTATTAAAATTTTTGAAAATTAACTTTTGAAGAATTTTTATTGCAAGTTTTGTGAAAATAATTGAATTCTCAACAATTTTAATAAAAAATCTTCAAGCGTAAATTTAAAAATGAAATTAATTTTAAAATATTTGTAAAGGAATTTTTTTAAAAAGACAAAAGAATTTCAACATAAAAAATTGACTCCAATCAGTTTTTCCTTGCGAAATAAAATGGAAGCGATATATTTTTCTGTAAAAAAAAATTTTTTTTCATCAAAATGAAACATTTTTGAAGAATGGGAAAAATTTTTCGTCTAGGAGAATATATATATGTATAAGACGCAATTTATTAGAGGTTTACGTGCAGTTCCTTTAAAATGAAGTGCAAGTGTTGTATTTGTGTCGTGCGGTAAATCCACACATCCAATATATATATATATTGAAAAAACGAGGAGGAAAAAAAAGTGTTCCCTGTACGTGTAGGTTTTAGCAGGCAAAGGTTATCTTCTGTTATTTATGGCTGAAAAAACGATTCCCTTAACAAGGCACATGTCTCGGAGTGCTGTCTTTATATTGTCCCTCTTTAACTAAAAAATATTTTTTCTAAAAACAAATATATATATATATATATATATATATGGGGCATTCCACGCCAAGTCGGACACCTTTTGACTTTTGCATCTCCGATTTTTTTCAAATATTTTTTTTCTTTTAGTGCTGGTTGAAAGGAACTTCCATGATTTTTTTCAAATTTTTTCATGAAGTAATTTAAGAGATCTGGGTTTTTGAAAAATCACGTTTTTTACATAAATTTTTTTTTTAAAATGCTTATAACTCGGACAAAAATTGATCAAATTGGACGTTCGATATATGAAAATTTTTGTTTTTACACGTAGTTTTTGATAAAAATATTAAAAAAAAATTTTTTTTTAATTTACCAAAAAAATTTTAAATTTTAAAAATAAAATTTAATTTTTAAGAATGTATGTATCGATCGATTTTTTTCAAAATTTTTTGTAAGAAACTGGTACTAAATTAAGAATTTTTAATCCTTGTCTGATTGTGGGCAAACGATGGGATCTATTTATTTTGTAATTTTTAATTTTTGTATACGCAGTGAAAACGGTAGGTAGCCAAATGCGTAACTTGACATTTGACCAAATCACGCAAATTTTTCAAACCAAAACTGTTTTCAGACTGAGTCTCTCCGAACTTAACCTTCTTACTGTTTAAAAAAGTGATTTGATCAAATTGCAAGTTAGGCATTTGGCTACCTACCGTTTTACTAAAATTAAAAATTTCAAAATAAATAGATCCCATCGTTTGCCCACAATCAGACAAGGATTAAAAATTCTTAATTTAGTACCAGTTTCTTACAAAAAATTTTGAAAAAAATCGATCGATACATACATTCTTAAAAATTAAATTTTATTTTTAAAATTTAAAATTTTTTTGGTAAATTAAAAAAAAATTTTTTTTTAATATTTTTATCAAAAACTACGTGTAAAAACAAAAATTTTCATATATCGAACGTCCAATTTGATCAATTTTTGTCCGAGTTATAAGCATTTTAAAAAAAAATTTATGTAAAAAACGTGATTTTTCAAAAACCCAGATCTCTTAAATTACTTCATGAAAAAATTTGAAAAAAATCATGGAAGTTCCTTTCAACCAGCACTAAAAGAAAAAAAATATTTGAAAAAAATCGGAGATGCAAAAGTCAAAAGGTGTCCGACTTGGCGTGGAATGCCCCATATATATATATATATATATATATATAATTCTTTTCTCTTTTGAAGAAAAAATAATACTTTACGCAGAATTTAAAGTAAGATAAAATTTTCGCATCAAAATTTCCACTATCTTAAATTCGGTAATATACTAGAAATCAAAAAATTATCCTCAAAAATTATAACCAATTCGTTAAAACGATTCAATTATTTTCATAAAATATTCGAAATTCTATTTTCAATATCTAGTATTTTCATTAAATATCGCAAAAGAATTCAATTATTTAAAAAAAAATTGATAAAATTCATCCAAAATTCAATTATTTTTAAGCAATTATTAATCAATTATTTTACAAAATTTTTATACAATTCTTCACAATAATTCAATTACTTTCACTAATAATAACATTTTTCATGGAAATTAAATTTTTAAAAAATATTTTTCCCAAATTCTAAACAAGAATTCAATTATTTTCATAAATAATAAAACTCACCGAAGAATTCCAATTATTATTTTAAATTAACTAATCAAAAATTTCAATTATTTTTATAAATAAATTTTTCCACAAGAATTCAATTATTTAAAATAAAATTTTCATATTATTTTTTATATTATGAAAAAATTAATTATTTAAAACAATGTTTATAAAATTCTTATGAAGAATTCAATTATTTTCAAAAATAACAAAATTTTTCATAGAAATTCAATTCTTTTTAAACATTTTAATAATATTCTTTGCAAAATTCAATTTTTTCTATAAATAATAAAATTCTTTGCAACTATTCAATTATTGTCATAAATAATAAAATTTATCGCAGGATTTCAATTATTTTTAATACAATTTTACAGGAATTGCTCAAAAAATGTACCTAAATATTCTTAAAAATTTAATTTCAATTTCTCGAAAAAATCAATTAATTAATAAATGTTTTTTTTTAAATTCTTTGGAAGAATTCAATTATTTATAAAAATTTTAGAACTTTTTACATTCTTCGCAGAAATTCAATTAGTTTCAAAAAATCTAGAAAAAAATTGTCAACATTTATCTTTATAAATCAGTTTTTTAGGACTGCGGGGATGTATTTTGATAAATAAATAAAAAAAATGGATAGCAAAAATCTTTGAAAAATTCAATTATTTTTAGGAATTTTAATAAAATTCATTGCAAAATTCAATTATTTTAAATTAAAATTTTAATAAAATTCATGTCAAAAATTCAATTATTTTGAAACATTTTTCTTAATTCAATGATTTTCAATATGCCACTATTTTAATAAAATTTCCCAAAAGAATTCAATTATTAAACAAAAATTTTGATAAAATTCTACACGAACATTCAATTCAATTATTTAAAAAAAATTTTAATAATATTCTACGAAAATATTTACCTAATTATTTATTTCATAACTAATATAAATTTCACAGGAATTTAATTATTTACAAATTTTTTCGCAATAATTGAATTATTTTCATAGATAATGAAAATTTTTAACAAGGATTCAATTATTTTCATAAATAATAAAATTCATCGCAGGATTTTGATAAAATTCTTCCCAATATTTCAATTATTTAATAATTCTTCTAAAGAATTTAATTATTTTAAGGCATTTTAATTAAATTCTTTGCAAAATTCAATTATTTTCATAAAGAACAATATTCACCACAAGAATTCAATTATTTTTAAAGATAATAATAAATTTCTTCTTGGAAATTTAATTATTTTTAAAAACTCTAATAAAATTTTTCGCAAGAATTCAATTATTTTTATAAATAATAAAATTCTTTTTAGGAATTCAATTATTGTCAAAAAATTTTATTAAAATACCACACAGACATTCAATTACTCTCAAAAATTTTAATAGAATTTTTTGTAAAATTTAATTATTTTTAAAAACTGTTCGCAATTCAGTGATTTTCAATATTTACTATTTTTATAAAGTTTTCAAACATAATTTAATTATTTAAAAAATTTTCTGTAAAAATCTTCGTAAGAATTCAATTCTTTTCATGAATAATAAAAATTTATCAGGAATTGAATTATTTAATTTAGAATTTGCATAAAATTAGTCGAAAGAAATCAATTGTTTAAAAGTTTTTATAAAAATTCTTTTAAGAAATAAATTAAATTATTAAAGAATTAAATTATTTTTATAAATATTGAAATTCTTTCATGAATAATAAAATTCGTTGCAGGAATGCAAGTTATTAGCAGTAGGTTAAGAAAGAAGTAAATATTTTTGATGAAAATTAGGAAAAAGTCAGGAATAATAAAATACAGAATAGAATTTTTGTCAGTTTTGTAAACTGTCTATAACGAGTTTTTTTGTCAAGTCAAGTCAAGTTTAATATTTCGATAGCTATTATTATTATCATTGCAATTTTTTCTAATCACTTGGTAATCTTAATTCTTTTTCATAATATTATGTTTGTTATTATTCTTATTTCGTATTGATATATTATTATTATTTTATATTTTTATTATTTTTATTTATTGCTGTGTTATTATTGGTCAATTTTAATTTTTAAAGAAAGGTTTCATTTGCGGTTTAAAAATGTTGAAACGAGATAAAATCTGAGGGAGATGAAAGGAAATTTCATTTATTGGAACTATCTCGTTGGTTTCAAGTTTAGACCGCGTTGTGTGATATAGAGGAAATTAAAGTGTACGATGACAGAGATTCATAGTCGAAGAAAAGAAGAAGCAGCTTAAAGAAAGCAGCTCAAACCACACAATAGCTAGCTATAAACTTTGATCGTAAATTTTAACTTTGCAAAATTAACTTTATAATGTATTCCACATCGAAATGGCAATCGAAACACTGCGATTAATTTAAATAACAATTTTTCATTTTTCATATTACTATTTATATTAATATTTAAAAAAACGGGATTCTTACACAAAAAATTAAAAAAAACGGCAG